CCCTCCCTCCCTCCCTCCCTCCCTCCCTCCCTCCCTCCCTCCCTCCCTCCCTCCCCTCCCCTCCGACGGGAGGTGTTTCACTATCTTCGGCCTCTGAGGTCCCTTCCTGGGCCTCGGGGCCTTCAAAAAACGGCTCAGGATGAAAGACCGGTTCCGGGGAAAGGGCCCAGACCTTTGGGGGTCGACGCTGTTAAACAATTAGCTTGGCGGAGGGCCCAATCAGATGCAGTTGTGAATACCGCAGTTGTAGGCATCGTCTTCTGTGAGGCCCCCTTTTGTAAGGCCACGAAACGTTGTATTGGGTTGAAAAGACGCATGCGAACTGCGCCACCGGAACCTTCGGCAGAGCTCCCTAGAGGGCCACGAGACGCTGTACCCGCTGGGGGAGACGCAGGCCGCTCTGCTTCGCGAGTTGTGCCACGAAGTAGCTGGCACCCTAAGGTTTGACTACAGTCAAGACTCTGAAATAAGGAACAGTTTGGGCTCGGAAGGGGCTCGATGTTCCTTAGGCACCTCCAGTGCTGTTCATCTCGCCCTCCTGGGGCACGGAGGCGTTTGCGGGGCCAAGAAGGGGCTTCGTTCCGTATTTAGCGTTCCTTCTTTCAGCGGCCCGATTGTATTCTTCTCTTCACTGGGATATGGAGAAAGTCTTCGACCTTGTCATGTCATCGCAACTGGCTCGGCTCGCTCTTGAGGTTGCCTACCCTCCTCGCTTGCTCTACCTCGGCGTGGCGTTCCATACCTGCCCTAGATTGCTCTAAGTCGCTGGTGCGATGTCTGATGTGATTTCTGAGGGTCGTTCCGTTCTGGCGGGGCGCGGACAGTCGATGCCATGGGTTAAAGCATATGTACATGATATACTTGATCGTGCGCGTCGGAGATTGCTTGTTGTTCCGATCCAGTAGTATGTCGACGATATCACTCCGCATGCTCAGAACTCTCACCGTCACGTAGTCAAGTTCCCTTCCCGGTGCAGCGGCGGCGTTTCTGAAGGACGTTCAGTCCCCTGGTTGTACCATCTCGACCAAGTCTGCAGCAATTGCTTCCTCTGCTGATCTTGCTCGCGATTCAGGCGCAGCTTTTCGGTGCGAACGCGTTCCAGTGAAGTTCACTACCCAGGTAAAGGACTTGGGTGCGATGGCGACGGCTGGTAAGCGACGGTGCACATGGAATGTTAAGCTGCGACGACGCACTGCATTCCGACGCTCACGTACGCTCATTTGTCTTGCCTGTCTCTCTGTGGTAAGGCCAAGAAGATATGCAAGCCTGGGGTGCTCGTGGTGGGATCTTGGAGTCATTCCGCGGTCGGTCTCACCGTGGCTGACGTTCAGGGTTTCAGGTCCGAGGCGGCCCAGTTCTCGGGCCATTGGATTATCCGAGCGTGCACGACCACGGTTTTGAGTATTGGTGATCAATATGTTGACGATCTTGCTTTCCGTATGCGTAAGGAGCAGTTTCGAGCTATTGTTGGTGCGTGGCATTGTTTGTCTCTTGGTCAGCGTTTTGATTTGCAGAGGACCTGGATTAAGCAGCGCGATGGGCTTTTCTTGTTTGAAGCGCCCCGTCGATGGCGCACTGTCCGTGGCCCCATCGCTGCCGCGGTCTGCATTATGCTCGATCTCGACTGGGGCCTTGATTCGATGACCCATGGTATACGCCAGAGGGAGCGTTGAGCATTGAGGCTCGCGATTTTCCCTTCCACCTCACGATTGCTGCGCAGAGTACGTTGGATCGTACGTTGTGGGGTAAGGCGTCGAACCATGTGGATTGGGATGGTCTTGAAGGGGGTGCTGACCTTACTGTCTCCAGGAGTACGCATGCGAAGTTGGTTAATGATGGCCGCTTTTTCTTATGATGATGCCCTGTTCTGCTGCATTGTTTCCTGCGCCACGTGTCCTGGGGCTCAGTTTCAGGACGCGAGGTATTTTACAGATGGCATGTGCCCTCGATATGGCGTCGCCCGTGAGACGGCGCTACACCATGTCTGGGGCTGCATTTCCAACGATCAGATTGACTTGGTCCACTTGCTCAGGTCCCGGGAACTCGTCCAGACAGCCTTGCATGATGAGCACGAAAGTCCAGCCTTTCGGAATAAGGGCACTCGGTATTGCCACTATTGCTGCTGCTGCCGCTCCGATACCTCCACCGACTGGCGTGAAACAGGCTCGGGGCACGCTCTCGGGATGGGCGCGCGGTGCGAAGCGGCAGATTTGGACTTGACGGGTCAGGAGGGAAGTGGGCTACGGATGTTCGCCTTCGTCGCTGCGGTCGGGCGGTCGCTCGGCTGGACGAGGCTGGCGCGGGCGACTTTGAGCTTCGATGGGATGCCAGTGTGGCGGGGGCCCCCCCTACTCGGGCTCCGTCGAGCCCGCGCTCGGAGCTGTTTCGGCCGCTGATGCCGCTTACTCTCACTGCGGGCAACGTCGTTGCACAGTGTGATTATCTTCCCTTTGCTCGGGGCCTTCGACGGGATCGATCCTGGGTGGCCAAATCCTCCCCGACGCTGGACCTCTGGGCCCCGAGTCTGGGACCTCTTCGACGCTCGCGATGGCCGTGCTGAGGTGATCTGGGCCAAAGCTCGCTCAAGTCGTAGTGCCCGCGGGGCTTCGGGCACTTGTGAGGTGGACTTGTTCTTCAGGGGCTGTGCTGCTTTTTCCTGCTGGGAAGGCTGCCGCCTTAGGCGAGGCTCTTGAGGGACATGTTCACAGGTGTACATCGTGACGCTTCTCTACGACCGCCTTTATATGATTGCTCTCTCTCTCTCTCTCTCTCTCGCTGATGTTGCTTCTTCCTTTCGCCCCTGCCAGGTCCTGTCGGTGATATGACCTTGCGCGTCTTGAATCGTCTTTCGGTTGTGACCCGGGAGGCCAGCCTGACCTGCCAGCGCGTGCAGCCTGATCGCGTTGACCGCCCCCCGCCCAGACCTCCTGCTGCCCCATGCCGAGCCACGCGGAAGCAGAGACTGGCCGCTGCAGGTCACGCTCCTCGAATGCATGGAACCCGTTTTGTACGCACGGTTTGTCGCCGTACGTTTGAAGCTACTCGCGGTAAGGTCTGCAATTTCTGGTTGGGTAGATGTCTGGGGGCGCGCGAGGTTAAATTGCAGGCTGGGCGCGAATTGCAGCGATGAGAGGGTCCATTATTTGCGCGATTTGTTGGTCTTCAAGGGCACCTTGCATTGCCGAGCGCGCGGGAGATTTTGCGTCTCCACCGCCTAGCTCCTTCGTGAGGAATGTCCTATTGCGAAGGCCCGTGCTGAAGGCAGGCCGCGCGTGGGCCCCGCAAATGCCGGCGGCACCGGCGCGTTGTCTCGCCTCGCGCGAGGGCTGCCCCCAAAGTGTGGCATGTCTTCTCCCTCGCGGCGATATCACGATGCGGGCGCGAGAAATCCTCGCGGCCGGTTGCCGCGCGCCGACTCCGTGACATGCGCGGGGCGGTCGGGCGGCGCCACTTGCAACGGAGATTGCGCCTCTTCGTGCCACGTGCTTTTGCGATTGCACGTTGCGCTGCGGAGTCTTGGCCAGATCAGGGGCTCATATGGTCCAGACCAAAGGCTTTCCGCCCCCTCCTCCTCCTCCTCCGCCTCCTTCTCCTCGTCTTCCTCCTCCTCCTCCTCCTCCTCCTCATCCTCATCCTCTTCTTCCTCCTCTTCCTCCTCCTCCTCCTTCTTCTCCTCCTCCACCTCCTCCTCCTCCTCCTCCCTCTCCTCCTCATCCTCTTCCTCCTTCTCCTCTTCATCCTCCTCCTCTCATGCCCTCCCCCCTCCGACCCCTCCTCTTCCTCCTCCTCCTCCTCCTCCTCCTACCTCCTCCTCCTCTCCCCTTCCCCTCCTCCTCCTCCTCCTCCTCCTCCTCCTCCTCCTCGTCCTCTTCCTCCTCCCCCTCCCGTCGTTCCACCTCCTCCTCCTCAGCCTCCTCCTCCTCCTCCACCTCCTCCTCCTCCTCCTTTTCCTCCTCGCCCTCCTCTTCCTCCTCCTCCTCCTCCTCCTCCTCCACCTCCTTCCTCCTCCACCTCCCCCTCCTCTTCATCCTCCTCCTCCTCCTCCTCTCCGCCTCCCTCCTCCTCACCCTCCTCCTCCTCCTCCTCCTCCTCCTCCTCCCTCCTCCACCTCGCTCCTCCCCCCCTTCCTCCTCCCCTCCCTCCTCCTCCTCCACCTCCTCCTCCTCCTCCTCCTCCTCCTCGTCCTCACTTCTTCCTCCCCCTCCCGTCGACCACCTCCTCCGCCTCATCCTCACTCCCTCCTCCTCCACCTCCTCCTCCCCTCCTCTTCCTCCTCCTCCTCCTCTTCCCTCCGTCCTCCTGCCCTCCTCCTCCTCCTCCTCCCCCCTCCCTCCCTCCCTCCCTTTCTCCTCCCCCTCCTCCTCCTCCTCGTCCCTTTCCTCCACCCCCTCCCGTCGTCCACCTCCTCCGTCCTCCTCCCTCATCCTCCTCCTCCTCTTCCACCTCCTCCTCCTCCCGCCTCCTCCTCCTCCTCCTCCACGCTCCTCTTCTCCTCCCTCCTCTGCCATGCCATCCTCCTCTTCCACCTTCTCCTCCTTCTCCTCCTCCTCTTCCTCCTGCTCCTCTTCCTCCTCCTCCTCTTCCTCCTCCCCCTCCTCCTCCTCCTCGTCCTCGTCCTCGTCGGCCTCCTCCTCTTTTTCCCCCCCCGCCTCCTCCCTCCTCTTTCATCCTCCTCTTGCGGGGTCTCGCCGCGGGGGGCCGCGTGTCCCAAGCGGGCCAGCCGCCATGAGACGGGCGCCCTCCGCAGCGGAACCTCTCTCTCTCTCATTCCACGCGCCTTCTCGTCCGCCAGTTGGGTGCGAAGGGGCAGCGCGGGTCCTGTTGTTCCTGTCGCCTCCTTCGCCCCCTCTCCTTCCTTTGGAATGCCGATCATCATCGCTCGACTCCCCGAAATCATTCGCGATCTTTCGTGCCCGAAGAGGGCCCGTCTGGCTGGCGCGCTGCCACGCGGGGGGGCGGGGCTGGGCAGGGGGGGGCGAAGGGGCCTCCCATCCCCCGAGGAGGGAAGGAGAAAGGCGGACTAGAAAAGCGGAGGAAGGATCCATGCCCACCCATTCAGTTCCATGCCCACTCGATCTCACGTTCGCTGAACCTTCGGGGGCACTGCTCATACACACGCCCATTCCACCCGCAAGCACTCAGAGCCACACGCGGAGGCAGGTGCAGCCGCTCTGCGGCCTGCGCAGGGGGCCTGGCCGTGGAGCACAGCGGGCGGGGCACGCACATGATCGATTAGAGGGGCAAAGCCAGGATCGAGGAGGGAGGATCGAGGGGCGGGACAGGCGCCCCCCTGCCTCGAGCGAAGCCCAACGACCACGGACAGAGATTTCGGCTACGTTGCCTCGGAGCCGATTTCCGGCAGCGACTGCAGACTGTTTGTCGACGGCGAGCTCGTGTACATCACGCGAGGTTTCTCCACGGTGCACTTGGAAGGCACTGGCATGCCCCATCCACATTCACCCATCCGATCAAGCCAATGATCTGCATGAATATGAATTTTCGGAACTCCGAGCGGATTTCTTGGATTCGCGCTGGACCCCATGGCGGCGGCTCCGGCGCCGCCCCTGGCGCGTTCCGCGCGCCAGGGAGGTGGGTCCAGCGCCGATCTAAGATGTTTGCGCCTTGGCATCGCTCGGACGTGTGTTTTGCTCCCCCGCGAGAACCATCGAGAAGCATCCTGGATCATCTCGCGAACCAAACAAATGACGCCCGACACCGAGAAACGCACGGGGGAAGTTCGGGAGCACCTCCGAGCGATGGGCGCGGACTTCCGAAAGTACACGTTTATGCCGCCGGTGTTTGTTTTTATTGTTTGATTCGCATTGTTGTTGTTGTTGGTGGTGGTGGTGGTGATGTTGTTGTTGTTGGTGTTGTTGTTGTTATTGTTGTTGTTGGTGTTGTTGTTGTTGCTGCTGCTGCTTGTGTTGTTGTTGCTGTTGTTGTTGTTGTTGGTGTTGTTGTTGCTGCTGCTGTTGTTGTTGTTGCTGCTGCTGCTGTTGTTGGTGTTGTTGGTGTTGGTGTTGGTGTTGTTGTTGTTGCAGTGGTTGCTGTGGTTGCTGTTGTTGTTGTTGTTGCTGTTGTTGTTGCTGTTGTTGTTGTTGTTGAACTCTCACTCTTGAAGAATAATTTTTGTTGATCCCCCCCACCGGCGCACATTGTTTTTTTCGATTGAAGTGCCACCCCCGGGGCTCGCACCTTGTTTTTTGCTCAAGGAAAGTCTTCCTGCTCAAACTGTGCCCCTGCCCCCCGGGCTACAACAACAACGGCTCCCGCCTGAGACTTCCTCGATTTTTACTCAGGACCCCCGCTCCCGCCTGAGACTTCCGCGCAATTTACTCAGGAAAGGCGCTCCCGTCCTGAGACTTCCTCGCAATGTAATCAAGACCCCCGCTCCCGCCTGAGACTTCCGTGCAATTTACGTGGGAACGGCGCTCCCGCCTGAGACTTCTTCGGAATTTTACTCAGGACCCCCGCTCCTGCCTGACATTTCCGCGCAATTGACTCAGGAACGGCGCTCCCGCCTGAGACTTCCTCGCAATTTAGTGAGGACCCCCGCTCCCGCCTGAGACTTCCGTGCAATTTGCTCAGGAACGGCGCTCCCGCTTGAGACTTCCTCGCAACTTAGTCAGGGCCCCCGCTTCCGCCTGAGATTTCCTTACAATATACTCAGGACTGCGCTCTCGCGTGCGACGTCCTCACAAATTATTCTGGAATTGCGTTTCGGCGCTCAGGAACCACGCACGCGCCAAGGACGCCTTCACAACGTGGTATCTTCCCTCTTCCTTCGTCCTTCCCCTCCCCTTCCTCCCACTCTCCCTCGTTCTTCCCCTCCTCCTCTTGCAGGGCCCGCGCCAATTCCAATGGCGGGCAGAGAGATGTACGCCCCCGAAGGATTGTCCGCCCGTTCCGGTTTGCCCGTACGTCTAAGCCCGCCGGCCCCAGCAAAGAGAAATAATCCCCCCGAAAGGGGTGTGATCGAAGACGAAGAGGGCGGGCATCGAGGGTGTAGGGTATACGTGTTGAATGACTCGCGGGCAAGTAAGAGCGTACAGCCTTCAAAATGGTTGTTGTTGTTGTTGTTGTTGTTGTTGTTGTTGTTGTTGTTGTTGTTGAACATTATTACTTCTAAAGAATAATTATTGTTGGGGCCCCTGGTGCACGGCCCCCTCGCCGCGCCTAGGCCGCAGCCATGTTTTCATCATTTTCGTGAGGAAGTCTCCGGCAAAACGGGTTGGTCCGGATCCGGTTGTTTTGTTACGGGCGGTTTTCCCTTGCAGAAAATAAGGCAAAGTGGACATTTCTTGTTCTAACATAACCAAACTTCAAGAATCCCTTGCAAAAAATAAGGTAAAGTGGACATTCGCGCGCGCAAGACGAAATCCTTCCAAAACCTTAGTGTTCGTAGCGATTTTAACATAAAGACATCAAAAAACCAATGGTTTTTCAAAAAAAAGGGGGTCAACATTTCATCCCGCGCGCTCTTGCGGATTTGTAGGAAACCCCACACTTTTTAAACATTTCTGTCAAACGGGCTTTTGCGAGCAACTTTTTCACGTGCTTCGAACTTCTCCAACAACGGTAGCGTCAGGAACACGTTACCACCAAAAACCAGTACAGGTGTCCAGTGTTGGAACAGGGGGAAAAGTCGTATACTAAGCTAGCGTCCAGAAAATGTTACCACAACAAGTCACTGTACCCATGCGCCAGTGTAGTAGCCACGGTCGTCCGCAGGCCACGAAGTGAAGTGTCCGAACGTCATAGGGCGGGAAGCTGGGTGTGGGTGGTGGCGAAGAGTCGTTTGGAAATGTGGTAGAGCTTGAACCGGCCCCCCCACAAAGTGGGGGTATTGGCGGGCGTCGTATGAAAACCCTGGCACTGGTGAGAACGAGCGTTCGGCTAGTAATTGTTGTTGTTGTTGTTGTTGTTGTTGTTGAACATTATTTATTCTAAAGAATAATTATTGTTGGGCCCCCTGGTGCGCGCCCCCCCCTGCGCCGCCTAGGCCGCAGCTACATTTTCATCATTTTCGTGAGGAAGCCTCAGAAAAGAGGGTGTGTACAGGATCCGGTTGTTTTGTTGTAATCCGCTTTCCCTTGCAAAAAACAATAGAAAATGACATTTCTTGTTCTAATATAATCAAATTTCAAGAATCCCTTGCAAAAAATAAGGTAAAGTGGACATTCGCGCGCGCAAGACGAAATCCTTCCAAAACCTTAGTGTTCGCAGCGATTTTAACATAAAAACATAAAAAAAACCAATGGTTTTTCAACAAAAAATTGTCAAAATCTCATCCCGCGCGCTCTTGCGGATTCGTAGGAAACCCAACACTTTTTTAAACATTTCTGTCAAACGGGTTTTTGCGAGCAACTTTTTCGAACTTCTGCGACAACGGTTGCGCACCTGCCAGGGCCATCATCCCTGTCAAATAATACCATGCGGGACACATTCGTTTTTTCTTCGCGCGCGCACGCCGAAACAACTTCTGTGGGTTCACAAGGCTTAACAACTTCTGTGGGTGTACGAACGTAGGCTTAACAACTTCTGTGGGTGTGTACTCCACGCCAGTGTAGTAGCCACGGTCGTCCGCAGGCCACGAAGTGAAGTGTCCGAACGTCATAGGGCGGGAAGCTGGGTGTGGGTGGTGGCGAAGAGTCGTGTGGATATTTGGTAGAGCTTGCACTGCCCCCCCACAAAGTGGGGGTATTGGCTGGCGTCGCATGAAAACCCTGGCACTGGTGAGAACACTGAGCGTTCGGGTAAAGTGATTGTTGTTGTTGTTGTTGTTACGTGTCTTGTTTATGGTTTTTATTCGTAGTTTTTGTTGCGTCGTTTCTGATAGGTTTTCTCCTTGTTCTTCTAGATCGACGCCTTCTGTGCGCATCCGTCCACCTGCCTCGCGCCCTGCCCCTCCTCCCATCGTCCCCTCCTCCCCCCGGGCAGGAGTGAGTGTGGGAAGGGGGCGGGTGGTCCACCTCGGAGGAGGAAGAGGAGGAGAGGGGCGAAGAGGACACGGGGGAGGAGGAGGAGGAGGAGGAGGAGGAGGAGGAGGAGGAGGAGAGGGAGGAGGATGAGGAGGACGAAGAGGAGGAGGAGGAGGAGGAGGAGGAGGAACAGGAGGAACAGGAGGAGGAGGAGGATTGGAGGGGGAAGAGGAGGAAAAAGAGGACAAGGAGGCGGAGGAGGAGGAAGAGGAAGAGGATCACGAGCACCCTATCCGACAAGGCCGAGTGCAGGATCACCAAGGGCACCACGGACCTGACCTCCAAGAGCGCAGAGGAAGTACAACAGCTGCAGCAAAACGAACGACCAGATAATGCACCAAGCGTTCCGCAAGAGTTCCAACAAGAAGATCAGCCGAGACTATTGCAAGGTCAAAGCTACAGACCACCAGAATAAGGGGTTGAATTGCTCGACGACAGACCAATAGAATAAAGGGTATCAGTCCGGGGTTGAATGGCTCGATTACAAGCCACCAGAAGACTGCAGACTAAATCCACAGTTTGCCAAACGGTCTGCTCGAGTACCAGACAACTCACATATGGTGCTAATACCGGAGACGCTTTCCACGGAGTATACCTACGCAGCAATGGAGATTGGACAGGTGTACATCCCAGCCAACACGAGGGTGGATGGTGACTTTGTGCAACCAACGGTACACCTTTGCTTGCATAGGAGTGACCACGACCACGGGGAAGAGGAACACATAAAAAATCGGCGACGTCATACGCGCCATTTTCGCAAAGAACCACACCGACATCGACATCAACAAGAGGGACCATCACTACACGGCACGGCCGACCCACACACCTCACTACCAAAAAGGCAGTACGGGTCAGAAGCATGGGCAACGACAACCACAACGACACTCACCGCCGAGCGCTAGTCGCCGCCCTGCCCTGCTAAAGGAACGCGCAAAGGAAACGGAGGCCAACATGATCTACCTGGTCTCGCCTCAAAGTGGCCCGCACGGAACGGAAATGTCCAACGCTGACCAGATCCACGTGGTCTTCCTCGCGGAGGTTTTGAGCAGAATTGCAGGATGCGGAACGGAACGCCGTTCACTCTAAGACCAGCAGCTCCGGCTATTTGCCTTACGCAACCGACCAGAATGGCAATGTAGAGGACCCGAGCGAAGTTTTACCCCTCCTCCTCTACTTGACGGACACACTGACGACCACGGGCGCCAAGGCCAAGCACCCTCACAGCGACAATTTGGTACTCGACCAGAACAACCTGCACATGGCGCCACGAACCCGCGCAGGCCTCCGCGCAGCAGAAAGCGATCCAAACGGAGACCTGGCACCGTCGACCGAGGTCACCAACGGAGAATAACACACCCCCAGGGACTACAGCGCGGGGCACAGGGCCCCCACCAACCGCTTCAGGGGCGAGTTTCAGTTAGGGCCATCACGCAACGGCAACCCACGACAGCCCACTACAACAGGAACTGATTGGCACTTACCAGCCGACGTTACATATGAGGACTCTTGCAGGCCATCGCGCGGCCGCGGACATGGCCCCGCCCCGACAGGCAGAAGCCATCGCCCGACCGCCGCCTCCCGAGCGTGCCTCATGGGAAGCGCCGACACAGATCATTGTCTACGGCTGCATAAACCTTTTGGTTCCGGACATCCACGACCTCACGTCGCATCTCGTTTCTGAGCGGCGCGCAGAGGGGCAAACATTGTTAACCAAAGCGAGGGCCGGTTTCTCTACAGCGGCATCAACGACAACGACGAGGCGACGCTCGAGCTTGCGGGCTTCTCGAAGCGCCCGCCAGCAAGTGACAGGACCCCAAACGCGCAGAGCATTCCAAATACAAGAGAAGACCAACCTAGACCACAGCAAACGCCCACAAACAACCCGAACACGACCGATCGGGTCATCGCCGACCACTCGACCGGCTAGGCTGGCGCCGACAGCGGACCGCCATCGCCGAACTGCCCACCGCGGGCGCTCCGCCCGCCTAGCTACGCGACCTGGGGCGCCCGCGCGCTGGCACGGGCACTTCGGGCGGCCGGCCTTGCCCGCGGGCGTCTTCTGCCGCCGCGCCATCGACTTCCTCTGCCGAAGCCGCGGATCGCGCACCGGGTCGAGAGCGCCCCCGTCGAGCGGCGCGCCCAGGTAGATGATTGCAACCTCGATGCGAGAGAATCTGCACGGGGTGGCCGAGGCAACGCGCTACTGCGCCCAGGCTAGAAGAGAGCCCTATCTGCAAGCAGTGGGACATGCTTCTACGGCCTTAACGGACAATTTGCGAAATGCCCACCGATGGCGACGCGAGGCCAGAGCCCGCCGCCGCCGCGGCCCCCGCCGACGCCTCCGGCAAGCTCGCGCGACCTACGTCGACGCATCCGCCTTTGACGAAACCATCGCGAGGTACCACAATGATTGCGAATTCAAGGACAGCGTCAATACCTTCAAGGAGAACATCGCCAGCTTCACCGACACGGAGATGACCGAGCTCGCGCAGCCCGACAGCCGGGGGCCAATTCGCGAGCCAGCCCCCCTCAAACCGGGCCGACCACTTCGCGACAGGAGCGGGCGATGAAGATCATCGCGGAGATCCAAGGGGCCCAGCCACCGCTTCCGACCCCCAAGCGCGAGGGGTACCAGGCGCCGGCATCTACAGCGACGCGCCGACTGCGCGCGGGCCGCGCTTCAAGGGGCCGCCGACCACCATCGGGCCAGGAAGCGGAAGCGCGCCAGGGCGCGTGCACTGGGCATGGCGGCGCCTCGAGCAGCGCGCCATATATACTTGCACACCCTGCCAGGACCTCCCATCCAAGCCACCGCGCAAGACGCCGCCACCGAGCATCAACCAGCAAAACACGTCATGCGGCCGCAGCGGCCGCGCCAGGACAGCTCACAACAAGGGACCCGCAACCAAAGTCAGGGCACTTGCGAGACCCACATGAACACAATCTACGAGCAAGCGAGGCCACCGATCGAGCTGCCACCGCGTGGGTTGACATCTGTATCCGACCCTGGCGGAAGACGCCAAGACGCGATCGCGCGTCCGACCTGCAACATAAGCAGCTGCCACCACGACCGAAACACTTCGCTCTCCAAGATCCACGCGCGCAAGCTGATCGCACAAAATTTCGACGGCATGGACAGAGTCGCGGGCGACTACATCACCCGGGGTGACTGCCATACCACGCGCGCCGAGCACGACGGGATCACGAGCTACGTCGAAGCGTCGCTCAAGTACGTCCTCGGGCACGAAGGGCCACAGGGAGCGCGCCCTTTCGCGATGGTCCACTTCGCCCAACGTCGCCAAGCATCAGCTCGCAACGACGCTGACATACCATATTGGCGACCACTTCGACGACGTGCCCCAGCCAGCCGCAGTGGCCTACCTGCGCCGAAGCCTACTCATGCGAATTAAACTGGGCATGCGCAACAACCCTACCTCTCAGCCCACGCCACTCCCCATCGCTGGGTTCCAGAGAGACACCGCCGCAGCTGCCATCCACGAGATCGACCAGCTGATCAACGCCCAGGGCCCCGACATGACTGCCGAGCCACAGGGGCGCGAGACGCGCCATCGCGGCCCGGCGGGCCAACCGCAAGACCCAACCACTCGCAGCCGGCCCAATTCAGGAACGAGCTCTCGCCCAGACTTCGATCAGCAGCGCGAGGCTCAGACGCATGGAGGAAGCCCTCGCTCCATTCGAAGCCCGGAGAGATCAACGCGCCCAGCCCACCGTGGGCGCGGGATCGACCCTCGGCGGCCCTAAGGCCCGAAGGCTCACGCCCAGCTGGCACTGACTTACAACGACCGCCAGCGACCCCGCGGCAGCGGGGGGACAGGAAGACCCCGCAGGACGGCGAGACCAGCGGGCTAGCGACGCCGAGGCGGGCGCGACGACCGAAGCAGACAAAGAGTGGCAGCCGTGGCCACCTTGCGACGTCGCGCGCCAGCTCGGCCAACTCGACAACGAGTCCACGGAGAATCAGGAGGCCCCCCCACTGATCACCAACAGCCGCTGCGCGCCGGCCTCGGAATGGGAGCGGCCGCGCGGCGGCCCCGCAGGGGCGCCACCTACCTCACATTTCAATGTGAAGAAAAGGCTTGCTCCAGGACAGACGCGACGTCGCACCGGCCGCTCTATCCCCCATCCCATCTCGGCACTGCTCCTACGCCACAACGCATGCACTTACCGACATCATCGGCAGCAGCACAGCTGGTTGCAATTTGCGCCAATCCCTTGCTCCAGCAGCAGTTTACAGTGAGGACAGTGGGCCACCCACCACTAAGTCGACGGCACTGTCTACGCAGGTGCTCAGCTACGCAGCACAGCCTCTCGGCGAGAACAGCGAGCACAGCCATGCTACGCCGCGGGTCCCCAAGAAGGTTTTCTTACCCCACAAATGCCGCATCAACCGACAGACGTGACGCGCGGGCCCCTGCGTGGCACTCTCACTCACGGGCGATCGCAAGTGGAGCGCGCCGCGAAGGCCCCCGCCAACGTCCACCTTCGCGCGCTCCCAGCTGACCTTCTCAACCCCTCTCCCCCGCTTGATTTCATTAACCCCTCGCCGCCCTTTTCTCGCGGCGGGGGGCGGGTCGGCCAGTCGATCGGGGGGGGCGGCAAGGGATTCGCCGCGGGCCGCCCTGGCAGGGGCCTGGGCGCCCGCGGCCGCGCTCGGCCGCGCCAGGCATGCTCGCGCTCGCACAGGCCACAACCGCACCGGCCAACGCAGCAGCCGCGATCTCAGATCGCTCGCCCATATCAACGGCGGGGATGGTTGACGGACGCCGCGCGGGCTGGAAGGGCGACAACAACGCATCGACGACCGCGCCGCCGCCGGGAGGGCAGACATCTCCTCCCGCCAGACGCGGGAGGTTACCAGCCGCGGGGATTGGGCGCTTCGGGGGGGGTCCACACGCAGGGGGCGCGGCCTTTCTGCCTTCCAAGTGGGCGCGCGCGGCCGGCTACTCTGCCGGCGAGCGCGGAAGCTCCCGCCACCGAAAGCGCAAACTTGCCTCGAGCTCGGTGGAACCCCTACAGGCGGCCTTGAGGTCAATGTTCCGGAGCCCTGCGCTTGCTTCACGCGAGGGGCCCCGTCTCTGGCTTTTGGGGGCGCCAGGGCGGGGTTCCCACGAGCAGCGACAGACGTCCTTGCACCTTCCACCTCGGCGAGTGCGGACACGGATCGCCACCGACACGCCTTTGCTTCGCGCCAGCTTCGCATCGCATAGCCACTTCCCTCGCAGTCCTCATTTAACCGCGGCCGTGCGGCCAGACAGCGGTGCGGCAATCACCGCGGGAATGCGCGCATTTTCAAATTCACCCCCTACGTCCATCCCCTCCATTAGACGTCGCTGGCCCTGGCGGTCACGTTTCGCTCTGCCCTGCTAGCGCAGCAACCGCATCATCCTTTGGTAGAGCGTCTAGATCACTTACGCTCCCCTGAAATAGGGCACCTCAAAGAAAGGGGGCCCTGGGCACTTGCCAAGGCGCTGGCCTAACAGGGCCGGCAGACCCGAAGAAAAGGGGACCCTAACCAGGCCCGCGGGCCTTCCACTCCTCTTTTCAACCTGTCAGCCACTGCCGCCGCACCGTTTCCACACTGCTGGTGCCACGAGCTATTTGTCACCCCTTCCTTCTCCTTCCTCGAAGTCATGGAGTCCGAAGTCATCTTCCTTCTCTTCCCTCCCTGCCCCTGTCTGTCTGTTCGTCCAGTGTCCAGTGCGTCACCCTTGCGCATATGCCGGCGACCCCTGGAGCGGCGCCCCAGGGGTCACCTGGCGCTAGTTTGATCAAGCCCGTTCTCCAGGACCGACCAGCCCTGAAGGGGGGGGAGGCTGCGTCCAGACAAACTATCGAGCCATTAGGTGCCAGGTGCCAGGAGGAGGAGGTAGGTCTTTTCATCCTCGCACGCCTTCTACTCCCATGTTTAATCCTACGACACCGTTGTGGACACATGTTCTTATGGGTTTTTAGAGCCGGAAGCCTCCTCACCGCCAACGCGCCTCCTTCTTTAGGCGGG